GTTGAATGTTTGTCCGTGATTTGTGCATATCGAGATCCTCGTGGGTTCCAACAAATTTCTTGTTTGCTGCTGGCTGAACAAAATAATGAATTGTTGATGAAAAATCATGAATCTAGACCCACGGGGTCTACTGTGGTCCCTGAAATAAATGCTGTAATATCTAAACAGGGAACCGGAACTGAAAACAGTCAAACACATATGCGTGGATATACCTCGGGACGTGGTCAGGGTCGTGGACGTGGACGTGGCCGTGGTCGTGGATATGGTCCAGATCGCCGATTTGACCAAATCCACAAATTTCACCGAGGGTATAACTCGGGCCGGGGATATAATCGTGGGTGAGGCCGTAACTATGCCCAAAATTTTGAAAGGGGGAGAAATTTTCAGCCAAAATTTGAATAAAATAATGTGACGGAGAATAATGATGAAAAGACATGTTATCGATGTGGAAAAACGGGACATTGGACACGCAATTGTCGTGCTCCGAGACACGTTGTTGATAATTATAACAATTCCCAGAAATCAAAAGATAAGAATATAGAAACCAATTTTATGGTTGGGGAACCCTCTCAAAATGATTCAACACGTGTGGATGATGAATATGGCATCGATGACATATTGAACCTGGGTTTTGCTGATGCGGTAGTTGAAGACCAAGCTGGAAATGAACAAGAGAATAACTGATGATCATGTTTTTTTATTGCTTTCTTAGTTTTGTTGTATTTGTGTGTTTTTATCTGTATTTCGACTTTAATCAATAATAAATGTTGTTTTTCTTATAGATTATGGATCGATCTCGAATCCAAAATGGAGATATATGTCTTGCAATTGTGCCACTCATACTATACTCAAGGACAGAAAATATTTCGTCAACTTGAAATTAAATAAAGCAAAAGTAAACACAATATCCGGAAATGCAAAGATAATTAAGGGTTCTGGAAAAGCCATATTTTTTATGATGGGAGGTACAAAATTTATATTGAATGATGCATTATTCTCCCAAAATCAACAAGAAACTTGTTGAGTTTTAAAGATATCCGAATGAACGGATACCACGTTGAAACAATGAATAAAGGGGGAGTTGAATATCTTTGCATTACCTCAAATATTGCGGGAAATAAATGTGTTTTTGGAGGAATTACCAGCTTTATCCACGGGCTTATATTACACCCGCATTCATATCATCGAGACTTATGCTGCAACAAATTCACAGTCAGTTGAAATGTTTAAACTTTGGCATGATCGACTTGGTCATCCTGGCTCGATAATGATGCGAAGAATTATTGAAAATTCTAGTGGGCATCCATTAAAAAATCAGAGGATACTGCAAACACATGAATTGACATGTGCCTCATGTTCTCAAGGAAATTGATAATAAGGCCATCACATACTAAAGTCGGACATGAATCACCATTATTTTTGGAAAGGATTCATGGTGATATATGTGGACCTATTCATCCACCTTGTGGTCCATTCAGATATTTTATGGTGTTAATTGATGCCTCTAGTAGATGGTCTCACATGAGTTTGTTATCCACTAGAAATGTGACATTTGCTAAATTACTTGCCCAACTTATTAAATTAAGGGCTCAATTCCCAGATTATATTATCAAAAGAGTCAGACTTGACAATGCTGGAGAGTTTACATCTCAAATGTTTTAATGATTATTGTATGGCAGTGGGAATTGATGTTGAACATCCTGTAGCACATGTTCACACTCAAAATAGTCTAGCAGAATCATTGATTAAACGACTGCAGCTTATAGCCAGACCACTGATAATGAGGACAAAACTACCCACTTCAGTATGTGGACATGCTATTCTGCATGCAGATAATCTAATTCGCATAAGACCAAGTGCACACCATACATACTCGCCATTACAGTTGGCATATGGTTGAGAACCAAATATTGCACATATAAGAATTTTTGGTTGTACAGTGTATGTACCAATTGCTCCGCCCCAACGTAAGAAAATGGGGCCTCAAAGAAGGCTGGGAATATATGTTGGATATGAATCTCCATCAATAATAAAATACCTTGAGCCAAAAACAGGTGATGTTTTTACATCTCGGTTTGATGATTGTCATTTTAATAAAGAAATATTTCCCCCTTTAGGTGGGAATGAAAAGTCAATTGAGAAAAATATTGAATGGAGAACATCATCACTATCATATCGATCCTCCCACCGAACAAAGAGAGCAAGAAGTTCAAAAGATCATACATCTGCAGAATATTGCAAATCAATTGCCAGATGCATTTACTGACACAAAATGGGTGACAAAATCACATGTTGCAGCTATAAATGCCCCTGCTCGAATTGAGATTACAAAAAAAAAAATGGCAAATGACGATGTGCCAAATGAATTAAAGACACGCTTGAAATGAGGAAGACCAGTGG